TGAATACGTGCAGAGGTTCAATGGAAATGCACCGGCAACCATGCAACGTTAAAGTAATTAATCAGCGTGCGGGAATTTATGCGGGTTTTGCAATTCGCTTAAAGATAATTAAATAGTGATTAATAATGTTACGTGAATCCGCGCAAACCTCGCACTTGTATAGACGACATTTCCAACATCAGATATACCTTAATAGCACACATAATTATTGTTCGCTTCTGTTAACGAACATTTTTTTATATCTTTTTGTGCACATCTGCACGTTTTTCAATTTAACCTTAGTCCATTTGTTAATGGTGCACCATGCAGATACTCTTCTATTCAACCTATGTTACACGTACATTTGTAGCGCGACGTTGAAAGAAAAATGAAAGATACAAATTGAATATCATTACAGCCTTCGTGATGAAAAGTGCAGAATGCAAATAGTGTTGGATCAATTTAATTGATGAATTTTAATAGTTTATTAATTCATTAATTTGCTCAAGGATTTATCTAATTAGCGTGCATCGTTGACGAGTAATTAAAAATAAGTAATTAAAATTTAAAAAATTGACAGCTTATTGTATGAGAATCATGAATGTCAAGAAATAGTCAAAGTAGGTTTATTGATAAGTTAGTAGCTTTATCTTCAATTTACATGTTTAATAATATAATTAGCGTATGTGGCTTTAAAATAATTAATTTAATACACGGATTAATTCACACGCTCTTTTCTCACAACCTATTATAGGAAAGTGAATACTGTTAATCTGAAAATAGGGTCTAAATGGCCTCAATTTGACCTTACATTTTTATTTTCAACCATATTTTTAGCGTGTGCCATTATCGAGTAATTATATAAAATGTGAAGACATTTGCAAATTTAGTTACTTAATTTTCACACTGTATTTAATTTGCATATTAAATTTCAGTCGACGGTCATCCAATACTATTTCTTGTATTGTATTGAAGTTATGATAGTAATCTTTTGTTTTGACAATTTTTATTTTTTGGTTCATAGTCAAAAAAATGCAAAGGCCAAAGATTGAATACATACATACATTTTCAATATTTTATGCTATTTTTATTTAATAATGGGTTGCAATCAAAAGAAGCTACCCAGACCATCACCGATATTTATGGAGATTCCTCGACATTGCTATGGTTTCAAAAATTCCAAAATGGAGATAGAGATTTCAAGGACAAACTTAAAATTTAAAATTGTCTTAAAATTTATAATTTATTACTTTAAATTCATTAGTGAAGTCCAATCCGCTGTCGTTTCCCAGGGATGGAAATCGGGTCGCCGTGGAATGTTGTCTTTTGTTGTTTGATATGGAGTCTTAGGGTTGTAAATAAATCAATCCAATGGGTTATACATTTGATTTATGATTAATATTCGTTAAACTATAGTTCTTCCCTTAACAATACGACTAAGACTATTTTAATATACATAATCTGTGATTTGGTAGTACTTGATGAATATGTGTCGACTAAGCTTTTCCCGCGGGAAAGTTATTCTTTATTATTCTCCGAATCCGGTCGCTGCTTTCGATGAGATTTGTCCACTCAGCGTATTGTTATAAAAAAGGTATTGTAACAAGATTATTGCTCCCATCCGTATGTACTTCTAATAGTTAGACACAACATCGCGTAAAACAATCGCTATTAGTAACATTAAAACTAAACTGCTTAAAAACGATCAATTTTAATAAGCTATATAAAAGAATTCTATAGCATGATGATGCAAGACCATAAGCAGCAAGGCTTACGTAGGACAAAATAAATTAAAAGTTATATAATATCCACCATATTCACACCTTTATTTTCTTTGACCATCGTTTACTGAAGAAAAAATATTTATGATATTATGAATATCTATGTTGTATCAAATAGATGTTTCTTTTGTATATAAACTGAAAGTTCAATGAATTTGATTTATATGATATTATGTATTGGACAGAAAAACCCATGGTCCTTTGCAACAATTTAATTTATTTTTGTTATTGTATTTTGGTGATTTATTGTTGTAATAAATGTTATTATTATGAATATGGGCAAACGTAGGGAGTCATGATTAAAATAAAAAAAATATTACATTTTCACTCTTATCGTTTATTAACGTTTTTTTTGAATACAAAGTCATTCAAAAAAATATTTACATTTGAATTTTATGAATTAAAATAGATTTTTATGATATTATAAATATTTTTCTTGTATCAACTTAGATGATGGGCGTACGAAGTGAGTATTGAACACAAAAGAATATTGATCAAATTTTCAGTCCTCGCAACTAGCCTATGCGTTATTATCTAAAAATGTAATTAAAATTTGAAATAATTGTTAATTGAGCTATGATATATTAATATTTATTACGTTTATAATATTCATAAATTTAATTTGTGACTTGAATTTAAGAAAATATCTTAAATATAAAACAAAAAATTTACCAACCTTCCATCAAATTTTATTTTCAAGCTGCAATTCTAAGGCAATTTTCTATGAATTGAAACGTTGAATGCATCCAGTTTCCAACATTTCCATTCCACTATTACTTTTTCTTCTTTTAACTCTCTGCCTCTCCTTTTTCATGTGGCGTTCGAGTTTAAGCATGCATAAAATATTAAATTCGACGCACTCGAAATACTTTGGAAATCTTAATGCGATGCACAAACTGGCAAGTTTAACTTGGTATTTCGTTTGATAAAGTACGAGTTGCTCAGCGCGAAATGAGGGAATCGGTGGAAGAAAGTATAAGATAGAAGAAGATGATGATGATAAATCGTAGATTTTCTTCGTCACGGAGCACACGTTTCCAAAGTTCAAAAGCATTCATCAACGTAAAATTTGATGCGAACCTATTTCAATCCGACTCCGGATTAAAACCGTTTCAAATTGAAACAAAGGAATATCTACAAAAAAGAATTTTATAAATTTCAAATAAAAAACTTGTTAAATATAAAGAAAACCAAATCATTGATAATTATAAGAAATATTAATTTTATTTTAAACATTTTTCTAAATATAAAAAACAAACACCACAAATATAAATCTGCTCCGCCTTTACATTAAATAATTCATTAAAATTCGAAGACACTGCTAATTCTTGAATCAATTTTAATGCTCAATTGACAGCGTATTATAACAATACGTTAAATACTACAAATTTTGAAATAGACTCATTGGAAATGTTTAAAGGTAAAACTACACGTTCAATGTTCTAATTATCGTATGTTTTTCTCAAATAATTATATAAAATGTTAAAAATTTTGTTTTTATTTAGTTTTTCACATAATTTATGATGCAGCAAGTACAGTTGAAATCAATTTTGCAAGAACATCATATGTAATACCATTAGATTTTTTTAACGATGAAATAACTGACGTAGAGCAAAGATGAAGGTTCGTGGTAAAAGCGCGGTAAAAAGTATTACTTTATATTTGAACGAAGACATCCTCGAAAAATAAATAAATAGAGAACGGAGACAATAACGTACAACGATATTCCTTGACATGTTTTTGCCAGACAGGATCGCGTTTCCTGCTTCGAAGACACACACTCGCACACAGACTCATATTGAACAATAACAAAAGGACGGAAAGGGATAACAGGTAGAATCCGATGCAATGCATATTCCTTGCACATGTCTTTGGAAGTCCCTCTTTTCAGTTCTTGTTTGTTGCCGTGATTTAACCGACGTGCATTCCGATACGTACGTACACGGCGTTTTTGAACGTGCAGAACTTACCTCGAGCGAGCGGAAGAAGAAGAAAGAGAAGAGACGGAGTTTTCGCAGGAAACCGGAAACAGCCTGGCCCTCTGGCGGCCGTGGAAACTGTTCCGTCTAAAATGTATCTGCAATTTCGCAGTTGATCCTAGGGTTTCAAAAGGAAATATTACACCTGTCCCATCTCCCACGATATTGTTCAACTGTAATATATTTATATTACAACCGCTCACTCCTTGTATATGTATAACTTGTCTATATATATATAGAGAGAGAGATGTTGTGAAAAGTGAAGCAAAGGAAATTTCCTTGATACGAAGATGCACATTTCCACAAGATAGGATTAATAAAAAAAAAAAAGAAAACGCAACGAATCTTTCCCACTTGATTTTTATTTTTAAAATAAAGTACATGTATGTATGTATATATATTTTTATAATAATCATATATATGTAAGAGTAAGAGTCGAGAATAGAGTAGAGTAAGTATGATTAGGAACGGGAGAACTCGGAGCGAGGCACAAAAACCTTCGACCTCTACCATTCCCCCACGGCCCTTACAAAATAAATACATTATATACACTTAAAGTCTAGCTATTACAATTATAATATAATACTTAATTATTTTTTACTCATCATCATTCACAATATCCATATATACTTTTCTCTTCATCTTGAATAATCATATTTTTCGTAAATTTCATTATTTTTCTCATGCCACTCGTTTTTTTTTTCGCGCCAAGAATACATGTATAAATTTTCTTTGAAATAATCAATAAAATCAATAAACCGCTTACGCAACGGTAATCTTTAAATTTTAATTTTTTGTTTTTATTCTTTGTATATAGAGGACAGCACTTTGCATCCGCCCATCGAAAACGATCATAATCCTGAGCACACATTGATCTAAATTAAACATGTATATATTAAAAAGAAAAACTCTCTCGAGAGAAAAACGATCGTTTCCCATGGGAAGATTTCACATTTACGCTAAGTAACAAAGATCGGCTCGAATCGCCTAAACATATTTATACGATTAATTAATTTATTTTATTTTTATCATCTCATTTCAATATATATATATTTATAATTCATTTATATAAACATTTTTTCTCTCAACCATTTTCCTTGTAGTCGATCATCACAGGGATTTTTTTAAAATTATTTACAGATCGAAAACTCTTACGAAATAAAAATGTCTTTCCCTTGAAAATCAAAATAAAATGTATTTAATTTATTTTTCCTTTTTTCTTTAATATTATATATAATTTTGTTTTACACACATTTAGCTACAACAAAGTTTAAATTTTTTAGTCACATGTTTGAGTCTTATTTTTTTTGTGGAGAGAGAGTGAACAATCCGCCAGGTTATTAGTAATAACAATATACAAATTTAGAAAGGTTGGCAGTTATTACGATTAATATAAGACTAGAAATAGGATTTCTGATTGTAACGTTACATGCTGCTTCTTTATTTATTTATTTTTTTATATTTTACATTCCATTTGTCAATTAGTTATAACATGTACACAAAGAATTCGGAAAATAAATAAAGAAAACCCCCCGCAAGACTTTTCTTCTTTCAGCTTCTTTTTCCTATTCAGTTTAGTGCCTTACGAAACTACTTTTCCTCAGTTTTTTTTACAACAATTACTTAATTTTGCTTTTATTTATTGGGAAGTGATGGAACGGAAAATTGATTCGAAACCACGGAGTGGAGTAACAATAATCAAGGAATGTTCTTAAAAAAAAATTAAATTTAATTGAGGAAATTAAATGTACACTTCTCACTCGATCGCACTTTGTTGTCCGTAACAAAATCGCCCTAGTTTTCCGCTTCCGGTGATTGGGAATCGAGAAAATTACCTGAAGACGACGAGGACGGCGGCGGCGAAGAAACCGGAAAAGACGCAGGCGGTGATTCCTTGGGCGAAGATGCTGCTGCTTCCGGCTGCTGAAAAACAGAAATGAAGACATTAGTAAGAGAACAAAAAAAAAGAAAGTTGCTAGTGCGCAGAGTTTAGTTCGTAAAAGTGAACGGGCGGAAGCGTATAAAACAGAAGTAGTTTTCATATTCGGGAGTCTTTTGTGTTATTTGCATGCATCGAGGAATGGAACAAAACTCGCTTCTTCTTTTTGGGGGCGCCGTTAAATCTGCCTTCTGCACGAAACTAGTTCGCAGCGAAAACCCCTTCATTCCTTCCGTCGCTCGCGGTTTGGAAGAGGGTGGAAGGGAAAACTGAGGCAATCGTCAAACGGCGAAATGGTTAAAGTTTCAAACATGTACGGATAGAATTTTAAATAGATAATAAATATACAGGGGATTCGAATTTATTTAAGGGGATGTACATTTAAAATGGTCGCTGAACCCTCCTCCTCCACCAAGTCCTCTACCCTTCCCTTCTTTCACTTTGCCCGAGCAAAACCGACATTTGCATTGCCAGACTTTCTTATTGTGCCCTCCACTCGAAACCGACGTCTTCATTGCCTTCCCGACATAATTTTTATATGTCTTCATGCAAATTTTCCCTCCCTAATTCATAATTTTTCAATGGTTACTGACTTGCATCGCAGTAATGTATAATTTGTTTGAAGTACAGATTAAGTAAATGTAAGTTGGGTTATTTTAAGGTTAAATTAGTCTAATGTCTTATTTTCAATGTTTATCAACGAGAATGTTAGATTATTTTAACACAAAGCAGTTAATTGGTATAAATTACAGCTCAGGCGAATAAAGATTAGAATTTATTAAGGTTAGATTACTATAATATCAGATTTTAAGCGTCCACCAATAGCAATGTAATAAAATTATTTTTTAATAAGTTTAGGTTTGTTTAACGTAAATAAAGTATATACGATCATCTGCATAAATTGCAGGTTAAGTGAATGTAGGTTATGTTATCTTAATGTTAGATTAGTATAATTAACTAACTAACTTAAGAAAACAACAGCAATGTAATGTAATTTAAAAAATAATGATATATATATATATATATGTTTTAATTACCTTAACGTATTTATTTTGATCACTCATTAGTCAATTAATAATGAAATAATTTAAAAATTCCATTCACACATTCATCAATTAAATTATATAATTTTGTTCATTTATTTCCTTTCGTGATGTTGCTTCACTATTAATAACGTTAGTCCAGTCATTAAATATAATTTCTTTAAAAAATACTATACAAGAAATTAACAAACGTAAATTCAGCAACTTCTTACATGCAATTGCATTAAATTAGAATTTTTTGTTTTAAATTGGCATCTATTCATTATATAAAGTCCATCATTTTAAATCTTCAGGGAATTAACCTACACATGTATTTCTCCTTAACTCTTTGAGGTACACGCAATGTACAACCTTTTGAACATGTCTAGTGGGGCATTGTTATAATTTTCTAGGAAATGTTCAGGAAAAAGGTATTATCCTTTAATTTGGTTGATATGTCAAAGGACGAATATTTATAGGCCATACCATCCGATGTTGATTCAGTTGATGTAGTCTGATTCAGTTGTCTAGAAATTTATAATTACATAGTTCCCATTGGGAAATCCGTACTTGAAAATTAAAAGTTAAATTTGCTGAAAATAAAATGAGCATAAATAAAATTTATGAAACTAATTACTTTAATGTCCATTAAAAAGCTCAATAATTGTATAATAATTATGTTCATAATTGGTCAGTTCCCATGGGAAAACTGGATATGAAAATTAAAGTTCAATTTACAGAGTATAAAATGAGTATGTAGCTCATATGAGTTCTTACTTATTTAGTATAATACATTTAATATATAGATATTATTGTAGCTTTAATTCAAATATTTTATAATTAAAAAGATTGCGATGAAGGCATATTTATTGTTTTGTTATAGATTTGAAGATATTTTATATGTTATAAATTTATCAAAAGTCTCAATAATAATTTGTTATTTAGTATTTGCAGATTAAATTATATATGGTATGAACCTTTTCGAAAACTCTTATTTTTTCTTAATAATTTTAATGAAATCATTCAGAGATTTTGAAAATTTATGAATAAAAACAAACATATTTTTTATCAATTACATCATTTTTAACAGTATAAATTATTAATTTATAAAAATGCAACAATAAATTTTATTTTTAATAAAAACTAGTATATATTTTTTATAAATAAATATTTTACATTATAAGTGTGTTATTTTCTGTGTGTTTTATGAAATTATATATAACTCTTTGTAAGTAGTTTTCGACTTGAATTTGTAATGTAAAAATTGGCAGTAAACAGTGTGTTTGTATATGGAAGTTTTGTTAAATCGTATTTGCAGTAAAAACCGTTGCCAAATCGTGGACGACCAGCAGCAGTAGCATTACGCAATAACATAGAACAATAGGAGGATCGTAAATCGTGAATGTATCAGGTTTGGACGTGTTCCAAGTTGAACTGGAAATCAAGGTCGACAAGAGGAAGGTTTTCGTTGAGCAAAATTCGTCGATTAAATTCGGTGAGATATGTGAAGGTGACAAGCGGGAGAGACACTCGCTCGGAATAGAAGCAGCAGCAGGAGAAGAAGGGTAAATCCTGAGGAGCGATAACGCAGGTTATAGGTGCGTTTTCGCCCTTCGTTCCTAACATGAATTCGCATGTGTGTGTCGATGTTATCAAGGATTCGCTCACAAATTTCCTACATACAGACGCACACGAAAAGTCCTTGGCACCATCTCCACCCTCCATCCTCCCCATCCCCTTAAAAAAAGCGAGGAGTCGTAAATTTTACCCCCAGAAATGGATGCCCACGCTGCAGGAGAAATGTATTTATGAATACTCTTGGCCCTGCTCCAATATATCTGTACATATATACATATACTTATGTATACATATAGAAAGTAGAGAGAGAAAATAGTAGGATAGAAAAAGAGAGAAACTGGGAGATGGTTCGTGATTTTTTTTTTCGTTATCTCGTCCTGGTTTGCGCCTCCAGCCGCCGCTGCCGCCCCCTAGATACGCCGCCACTGGAATCCGATACATCAGGATTTGAAACAATGTTCGGCGGGGGTTGTGTTGGTAGTAGTGTTTGATCTCAATTCGCGATACCCGTTCGCTCGGAATAAAAGTGTGTCAGAACTGTGAAAATGGAGCTGCGAAAAAACTAGTGAAAATAAAAGGAAAAAAAGAAAAACTGGCCAGTCGACATTTGCTAGTGGCGGCAGCCAAACTGGCGCATTGGCAAATTTTAACAAACACAATGAAAAACTTATCTGACAGAAAAATGTTGTAAACATCCTTAATTTTTCTCCCAATTTTGTTTATAAATAATTTGCAAATTTTCATCATTATTCTAATTTTTTTATATATATTGAAAATTTTCAATTGATATATTATATACAGCGATACCTTGCTGATCGATCAGAGTGGAGTCACTTTATAGTTTGAAAAATTTCAAAATACATTATAAGAAATAGTACACAAAATTATTATTTTGTATACATATTCCTCTATTATTATATAATAATAATAAAAATATTAATTAATAATATAACAATAATGACAACCAAATAATAACAATTATGTACAAGAGAAAAAAAATCTAATTTGAATTAACAAAAATAATCAACAGGCTGGTTAAAGGGCTATCGACCGAGGTCTTTCCGCTCGGGAAAATCATTGAATTAAATATTTAAATTCTCATTTTTTCCATGTTATTACAAAACAATAAAATAGTTAATAAATAAGAATTACATTTCTTACTTGTTTTCGTGTAGATTTGTTAAAACAAATATTTTTTAATAAACAGTAAATTTGTAGTATAGAAAATAATAATTTTAATATTATACATAAAATTTAAATCATGGATATGACAAAAAAAGTGTGATAATTAAAAAAAGAGAACTTTAAACTATATTTGATATTAAAATATTTTGGTAGATTAAGGCACAAAAACACATTTTCGTTAATATCCTTAGAAACGTAATCCTCTCCCCTTCGAGCCCGTATTTAATGACACCAGAAAGGAGCAGAAAAAAGGAACTTTGAATAAAAAAAAATCCGTATTTATAATAATCAGGTGAGCATTTTTGCCAACTTTTCCGGAAAGTTGCGTTAATGAACAAGTTTTAATCCTGCATAGTTTGAGGCGCGACCGGAGCTAAAGCCTAATACCCCAATTAAATTACCGTAACTGCGCCGCTCCAGCAACATTTACTCGCTTATGGACCAGCGTAATCTTAATTACACGCTGCAATGGAGAAAAAGGGTTTACTTCCTCTCATTCTCATCTTTCCATCATGAAAACTTGCACATATATAACAAAAAAAATATGAGTTTAAATTTATGAAATAACGAAAAAAAATGTACCTATGTAATAGTGAAATAAAAAATAAAATTAAAACATAATGTAGGCTAATGAAATTTTCTGAATTTGCATAAGGACGATTGATCTTGATAAGCGCACTTAATTGCATGTAGATTTTGCAATTAAAACTCGCCTCGTGGGCGTCGGGTCATAAATATTTACCATCTAATTTCGGCTCTTTGCGTTCCCTGTGCATAGTTCTTGCAATATCTGGAATTTGTTATGAGATTTCCATCATAGTTTGTAGTGTGGATATTTTTATATAATGTATAGAAATCTTTTAAAATTTTATCATTTATCTTTAATTCCATTTAATATCGTAATTCCATTAATATATATGAGAATTTAATTTGAACTAAATGTTTGCAATAATATGATTTTATAGAAAAATTATATAACATTTACATTTACAGATATTTTACAAAATATTTACGAAAAAATGTCTGTATATGTTACAATATTTCCATTTTAAATGTTAATACAAATACTAATTAATTATAGAAACATTGCCGATTTTTATTACAATAGAAACCTTGTAATAAAAATATTAAATTTGTTTACCTATTTATAGTTATTTTGCAGAAACTTTCTAAAAGTTTTACCAAAATTGTACATAAATTTCAAACAAATTTCCAAAGAACATATGACTGATCACTGGACATTTATGAAAATAATCTGTAGTAATTCATATATCAGCCCATTAATTATTTATATATTCTCTATTCAATATACACACATAAATCCATCTCTCCTCGACTAGATACTAGCTTAAACTAATCGCGAAGGGTTTAAGTGGTCGAGCTTGGATGGAATTGTTAGGTCGGAAAATGATCGAATTGATAAATTTAGATGAGAACGAAGATGGAATTAATTAAACTTCGGTCCTTGCGGAGTAGGCGGCAGTGTCGCATTTTTTTTTTTCGGATTCAGCTTTTGCTCAATCAATCGCATTTATTGCAAATTTACCGGGACGTAATTTTCTGGCGCGAGCGATCCACAAATGCGCCTGTGAAATTAATTAATTATTTTTCCGAAAAAAGTACCGAATCACTTGCATCCATTCAACCATCCGCATCCTATGTGCAGATTAGCAAACTGATTGGCGTCCCACTCACCCCAATTCAGGAGATTACCAATTCGAATGTTAAATAATTACGAACGATTTACAGTTTCACAAATAAATTCCATACGAACAGCGAATTAGACCAATATTTTAACATTTTTTGTATATAAAGTAATTGTTTGCAATTGAATAATTTATAGATTTTTAATTTTCGATCATAAATTAAAGGGTAATAGCAGACACGTGTATTTTTTTTCTATAATTAAAGTAACTTACTTGATTACAATTGAACAGTTTACAGCGTTATCATCTTCGGTAGAAAGAAGTGGAGTGTAAAATTGTTTTGCAGATGAAAAAGTGTTGCGGTGTTTTTTCCCGTTGATACTCGAAGTACCCTTTCCAAATGCAAAACGTTATAAACTTCATCATTTACAAACGCATCAGAGCCGACGAGGTGTACTTTATAATCCGAAATGTTTTTGCTGCGAAGCCCTCGGAACCCGCAAAACCCTCGCAAAACAACAACAATTCTCATCCTTTCTCTGTCTGCTTCGCATTCAGTGTATCTCTTTATCTTCGTCTCTCTCGCGCGGAGATGTAGAAGCACGACCCTTTCTCATTGCACTCGCGCGCACCCTCATCCACCTACATTTATTTATATTATTCGGATCAAGTGGCAGTAGTGGCGGCAGTAATATTACGAAGACACGTACGTCCCTCATCCCCAACTCTAAATGAACCACTCCAGTATTTATCCGTGCAAGTACGATAATTAAATTTAATTAAACCCCTGCGGATGAGACCGTACATACGACGAAAATACACTGTATGTGTATGTGCGTTGGATAGAGATGAAAAGATGATAAGTTGGAATGAGAGGAAGCGAGAGAGAGAGAGCGAGAGGAATTTGTTCGGGGCCAATTTCATTCTCCGACATAAACTTCCTTAATTTACTAACTTAAATATCAAATCGATTATTATTATTTACGAAGATTCTTTTGTTAATTCTTGTTTTCTACAAATTATCTCCCTGTTTTCGACGCTAACGCTTCTGAATAATTCAGATCGCTCATCATCGATCTTTCTCTCTCTCAGCTTGAATTATTTACAGTTTAATTCCTTATCCTACGGCATGTATCGGGAATTAGGATCCATGAATCTGTTATGAATGCATTAAGCCGACGAACGCGGAATAGATTCTCGTCATCATAGCAAACAAGAATAGGAAAACATCTTTAAGCTTCTCGAATACATTATCGCTCTTTTTATTTTCAAAAATTTTAGTCTTTATTCCTTAACATTTCCATTGCTATGTCCCATTCTTAACAACAAAAGTTAAATCTACTAGACGTTTATTCCACCAATTTGTAATTTTAAAAGCTGAAAATACCCATATCACCAAATTGTTTTTATGTTATTTAAAAAAAAACCTAACCGAAACTTGACCAAGAACACTGGATATAAAAATACCCATACAACAAAATTGTTTATATATATTTTTAAACATAAAACCTTAGGGCAACTTCACCTAACCTAACATTTTCTCGGACCTACGGTACTAGAGTGGATAAGAAAATAAATACGTCTATAAATTATTGAGATGTATTTCTAAAATAAAACCAAAATCAATACATGCAAACCAAAAAGAGACATTGAGATAACGTGTAGTCATGCGTTATCTCTCTCGCACCCACTGAAATACCAAAACTACTCGTTTGCGTTAAATCGCAGTTTGAATAACCAGTTTCTTTTATAAATTACAACAACAAAAACAATAATTTAATCAAATCCATCAAAATAAATATTATTTAGCATTTCAATACATTTTATTACGCAATTTCAAAAAGATTATGTTTCAGTATACTATTTATTTAATAGAGAATCATCTTAGAATTAAGAAATAAAAATAGTAATTCAAAAGTTACATAAAAGCTCACAAATTGAATTGATTATAGCTTACTTGCTTCTCAAAATGTTTAACTTATTAATATGTTAATATTCTATTGTCATTGCTGTAGCAACTAAAAAGTGGAACAGTTTTTTTAAATGTTGTTGCTATGGTGTTTTTTTTTTCAATTATGATAGATGGAGCTCCTTAGACCAATTTGTTTTGCAATCGAATATTGGAGGTGAAATGTTGATGCAATGGTCAGACAGTTCGTATTCCGTGAGTATGAAGAGGGCGGACATGTCCAATTATTGCCTAATCTATTAAGCATCGATTTGATCCGCGCGATAATTGGACATTGCGTGCATGTATATTGCGTAATTCAATATCAGATGCAATCTAGTCTGTAAATGTTAGGGAATAAATGGAGTCTAGGCTACGTGAGAACTCAAACACATTACATCTAACACATAGTTAACTGACAAATAGTAGAGAAGAAATTATTTAAGATTATAGCAGATTTCTGATGAATTTTGGTGGATATGTTATAATATTCATGCAACAAAAATTATTACTTATGTATAAGATCAAATAAATTATTATCAAAAAATATGAAAAAAAAGAGTAATTTGAAGTAGAAATACTGAAAAATTCTGCATTTATAGTTAATGTATTGTAATTTATAATTGTATGTATTTATAATAAAAATAAAAGTGTATGAAAGTGTTTTAATATTAAATAGTAATTATATTAAAATACAGTGTAACCTTGCTTAACGAGTTTCATCCGTTTCGAAATTTCCTCGTATAGTTTTACTCGTATAGTGAACATAATCAAAAATACACATAATATGTATACACAAGTTTTAAAAATGATGTAGAAGACGCGCAATCCGGGAGTTCTCTTCTCATCGTCACTCGTTATGCGAATCATTTTTCTTACAATTAATTTTGCTTGTTAAGCGAAATGTTCGTTAAACGAGGTTCCACTGTATACAAATAAAAATTGAAATTTTGAGAACCTTCAGAAAATTTTTAAATAAAACTTGTAGTTTTGATACTGCAACAAAAAGTACATACTGAATTAACTTATGACTAATGAGAGTGGCTCCAGAGAGCAAACCTGAGATTATTTTATATTAAAATTGATTAATTGACAGTTGAGAAAAATATTTCGTCACTTCTGTACAATTAGTAGAAACTGATAATATCTAAAACTACATAAATGTTTTGTAAAAGTAGATAAATAAAAATTGTATTAAAATTTTAAACGAAACTTGTAATTTTCTCGAGAGTGAAAGAGTGATGAATTATTTAAAGGGCGTCTCGTCTGTAGGTGTGTGAATTTTTTTTATTCTGCGTTGACCCGAATCGCTTATATCAGACATTTCTGTCATTCTCCTGTTATTGCTCTTCATTGTGAGTCGGGGCAACGAGAAAATAAAAAAAGGAAAAAGAAAGAAAGTTAAATACGAAATGCTAGAATGAAAAAGGTAAAGGTGAAAAAAGGGTTTTATTTTATTTTTAAGCTGTTTTTTTCTCTTTTGGGTATTCTTACCTTGAACTCGATCGGCCCTGGATCCGGACGGTGCGACGGTGCCGCGACTTTCGAGAACGGAGGCCCTTTGAGGCCTCTCGCCCTCGACGGACTCTTCATTACTTCGCCAGTAGACGGTGGCGATCGTGGCCAAGCATTTCAACTTCATGTCGCCCTGCTTGAAATGCTTGGGCTTAACGACGAACTCGAGCCCGAGGACGGACGTCTCCAGTCCCTCGCGGCCCGTAACGAAGGTCTCCGGACCCTTCAGGAAGCTCTGATCAGCGTTCTCCCCGTTTATGAACCAGTTCAGCTGAGCCGCCGGCTTCGACCTTCCCGACGTGCAGTTCACCCTCACCGTGTCTCCGACCTGGTAACGGTTCCTTCCGCCGGCTATTCGCGGCTCCTCCTCTGGAAGGGCTGTGAACCAAAATCCCACTTTATTCACTTTACCCCACTATACCACTCACACTTCTATCATCTTCAACTACAATTTATACTCACCAAAATCAATAACAAACAAAAAAAACAATATTCCTCAATATTTCTAACAAAAACTTTCCAATAAGTGTATATTTGCCATGACTATTTTGTACTTTCAAAAATTTGCCTAGAAATAAAACATCACTTTCACTTGCAAATAATAAAACAACAATATTTATCAGAATGAAAATAATTGTTCAATATTCTATTTAATATTTAAAAAAAAAACATAAAGATATTAAATTTAAAATTGCGGAAAAAATTTTTAATTTCAGAAATTTGTATTTAAATCATTCATTACATATTCTCAGATAAAGATTACATCTCTTTGTTGATCTTAAATTTCAAAAAGTTTTTTCATTTTAAATATTTGTAAGAAAAAGCTGATACTTTTTCAATTATTCTTGAGCATTAAACCAATTAATTAATCAATTAACTATACTAGTTTAATACTATCTGCTTTTAACTGTCGATGAAATATAAAAGTTAATTTATATTTTTTTTTTAGTGTATTGAATGAATTCAATAAATATCGTTTGCTGTATAATAATCCACGGCGCTCGCAAATTACAGTAATAAGTGTCCATATAAGGAATAATAGAGCCATTAAATGCGAAACGGAACGAAAAAAAAAACATGAAAAAATGCATAAATAAATTTGCGGAAAAAAGAATAGTATGGATAAATAAAATCGGGGGTTGCAGGATACAAGCGGCCGTGTAATAAAACTTGAAATACTGCGAGCAGACTCCAGCTGGTGTCATTAATTAATTTTTAAAACTTTATCTCGCGTGGCGCCCCCTGCACACATACTTTCCTATTTTTTTTTCGTGCCCTCCTCCTCATTCCCTCATTCTCTTCAGTTTTCGTTGCAAATTTTAATACCAATTCCATTTGCGTTTTTAAATATTTGAAAAAGTATTTTTAATACAATAGAAATTAAACAATTCAATAACTAATTAAATGTCAAATATATAGTAAAGATGAGACAATGAAAATATATTTAAAAAAATGTTTGTTTCAATTTTTCCTCTCGATAATCGCTATCGCTTACACTATCTTCAGGCAAACAAAGGCTAAATTTCTGAATTTTAATGCAAAAAATATGTTTAAGAAAATTTTATTTCTTTAGAAAACAATTATTGCAAAAATGTCTAAACCAGAGAGTTCAAACGAAATAATTTCGTTCCGGTTTACGGTTACGTTCCAAGTAAATGTTTAACGGTCCAGATTCAGTTTCGGTTCGTCAAGAAATTTGAGTTCAGTTTCGGTTCGGTTCCGGTTGAAATTAAAATTATAATATCAAATGTTGGTTTCATTTTATTTACCAAATTCCCTTCTTACTATTGTTTTCAATTATAAAATTGAAAATATAAAAGAAATAAACTTTAATTAGTTTTTCAATTAGACTATTTCAATACATGCACCTTGTAATGTTTCTTCGGACATATTTACAGTAGGGCGACTAATAGCCGAGTGGTTAAGTCGCCCTACCCACGATTTGGTGGCCGCCGGTTCAAATTCTGGTCAAGCCAGTCCTTTTGTGAGCCCTCTCGGTGCTTGCAGCATTAGGGCCATCGTTCATCACAAATGGACAGTCAAATGAATGAGGTATGGACCTTCAGCCAATTCGATGGACAATGACAGTGTTAAGGATTGCAGCAGATTCACAGTCAAGGGAAATAGTTTAATCGCAGAGCATTACTATTAAAAATAAAATCAAATCATCATAATGGTAACTATCCACTGGGAAAGATTATCCATTTAATGTCAATCGCTATCTTAAATTTACTCAATGTTCACATTGATGAACAAATTATTAATAAAAATAAAATATACGACATAAACATTGTTTTACAGTAATATCCTTTTTAATCACTTTCTTTTGATTTCGTTCTAATGTTAGTTGTGCAAGAGAAGATTTGAAGAAGAATGGGCAAAAACAAGTCTTCTTCAAATTTTCTCTTTTTAGTCGGTTGTTTTTGAAGTTTTTCATATTTGGTATGATTAAGCGTTCCCACGGAATTCGGCCTGGATGGTTTCGTTTATTATGTATTTGTTAATTTGAAAAAATAATTCGGTTTCGGTTTTTCAATTCAGCAATTTTACGTTCCGGTTACAGTTCCGTTACAGAACCGTGTTAAAAATTCCGGTTAATTTCGGTTTAGGATTTTCGGTTCGATTTCGGTTCGACTCTCTGATCTAAACTATATCAATATTTTCCGAAAATAATCAATAATAAAGATATGACGAATGTGTTATATAGAAATAGTAGTAAAAAAGGAAATTGAAACTTTTGTCATTATTTTTCATTTCTTTGCAAATTACATATTCCAAGAGTGAGAGGAAACGCATTAACGATTGACACCAAACGTGAACAAATCGTAAAACATTAATACCAACGGCGATTTCAATTTCCTCCAAAAACGCACCATAGATGGAATCTTCCATAAAACGTGAAACCGTTTAACTGCAATCTGGACGTATTCATGCTACGTCAACTGCAAATGCTTTTGAGAGTATCGAATGGATAGAATCAGAAATAGTAGTAATAAAATCGAAATATTTTTTTTAAATTGAAACATTCTTTATGTTTGCATTTTCTGGTTTGTTAAAAGGTATACATTTATATTTGTAAAATTTTACTTAAAATTAGTTATGGATATATTTAATAAAAAAAAAATTAAAAAAAATGGTGTAGAAAATTCGGAAAAATTAAGAATACAAATTAAAGCAACTATTAGGATTGTCAAATTTAAGTTAATACTTAATATAAAATAAACAAATAATTAATATAAAAATAAACAAATTAAATTGAAAAGAAATTTTGTATTTTCATTTAAGAAAATTGTTATAATTCTTTATTTTAAACTTTTATTATTCATTCACAACCTGCCAACATCTCTGGGTATGTTATAATTTAAGTAAAAAAAACATGATTTTATATTATTAAACTAATTTTATTAACTAATATTACTGAAAAGTAATCCTGTTTTTATTTGTTACATACAAAATTAACTGTAAATAATATATAGTCATTTTGTGAATGGAATTAATGTGTTGCGTGCTTCTGCGTCGTTTGAAAATATACGTTTTTCTCTGTTTTTTTTTGGTATATATTTAAACTGAGATTGCAAAAAAAAAGTAAATAAAAAATTACTAATTAAGCAGTTGATGTTGGTTCTAATCACATCTAGTTTATTAAGTTCGTGGAATTCGTGGCGTGTTCTTCAGTAGAAGGGCGGGGTTAAATATTTTAATCGTTTCCACAATCGTTTGTAAATCAAAATTTCGCAAATCAAACGTTCTACAAATTATTGAATAAATCATACTTTTAATGAAAACAAATTAAATGAAATTTTAATTTCCTTGCAGCACTTAAGTTTTTGATTTATTATTATTGTATGAAATTTTATAACCCGTAAGTCAAAGTGACCCACCCGATATTTGTTATTCGAATTCTATAGTATTTTAGACATCTACACAACCTAATAAACGGATTTATACATCCAAAAGAAAAAGGTGTTTTGTTTTCAAGCAAGAGCGACAAGAAAATATTAGCGTTTTCTCACATATGCAAAAGACCAACTTGTTCTACTTTGTCAAGAAATATGCCTTGACTGTTTTGAATAATAAAATCAATTGAAAATAAATGATGTTAAATTAATTAAATAATAAGAATTAATTTGTGTTTATTGTAAAAAATAATAATTTGTACTATTTTTTTAATATTTAATAAACGGGTCATATTTACCCACGTTATATTGTTGTATTAGTAGTAGCTACGTGATAATTTATATATTTTTTAAATTTTATAAATTAACATTTATTTTTAAGAAATCATTCATTCCTCAATTTGATTTAGAAAGTTAGAAGAAAAAAATTATCATAAATGCATAATTAATGTAGTAAATAGAAATTAAGATTTGTCAATAAAATTAAATCGTTAATCGTTTATTAATGGAAAATAATACGTCCAGTAGGAGCTAAAAAACGTTTATTTTTTAACAATTTCAATAATTATTATTGCATAATAAAATTTAGCAGATTTATAGATCATCCGAATTGATTAGCTTGGCAAACGATTCAAACGCAAACTTTTAGGTATCTTAGTAAATGAAAAAATGGACTTATACCACTTTCCTAAAATATTAATTAAAATAAATCGAGTATATTAATTACTGTATTGAAGCATAGGATTGTATTAAGTAGTTTTAATAATAGCATTTATTTGTTTCTTTGAAATCATCTTAATTTTTATTAAAAAATTTAATGTTATTTTCTCTAAAAATCCTGAAAATCTCATTATTTAAATTACTGAAAACTATCAAAACATAGTATTTAATTTTTTGAAAAAAAAAACAATAACATTTCTTATAATAATTTATAAATACTATTAATTATATAATAGAAATGATTAAATTTGATTTTAAATCTTAAATTTCAATATATTTTTTATTAAATAAAAAACATAAAATAAAAAATATATACACTGACATTAACATATTTAAACTGAATATATTATTTATAATTAAATAAGAAAGTAAATAATGCGTAATGTCCTGTGCGAAAAGGGTAGGTGTTAATGTTAAATAATAAATGCGGAGCTGAAAATCCCTAGATTTTTTTGTTGAGGTCGAAAAAGGTTGATATTATTATATAATATATATACACCTCTTTTCGTGCACGCGTAAATCGTGCGAAAGTTTTCATTAGACTTCCAAAGAATGAATTGTTAAACTCTCTCTGTCTTTATCTCCCTATATATTTATTTTGGCGGTGGTGAAAATATCGCATTAATTAAAAGGACCTGAACAAAAATAAATTTCGAAAATTTTTGTCATTACCGTCGGGCTCCTCCGATTCTGCCTTAATTAAGGTCTGATTTACAGCACTCGACCCATTACATATTCATATACCGGCCTCGATTTTAATAT